GGTTGCTCTAATCGGTAGTTTTCCGTGGTTTCTCCGATAAATCCAGGTGGATACCGGAGCAGTATCCAAACAAACAGGCCATGGATCACGCGCGATCTTTCCTTCCCCTTTCTTGTCCTATCCTACCCCTTACTTACACACACTTTTACTTAGAGGCTATACATTACCACGCGTGTAGGTATCTTAGAACTTAGGAAGTTGATAATTATTGTTAAAAGTGCACCATGGATTAATAGAAAACTTTTGTTTTTATTATCTTATTACGAAACTGATCTCAGTTTAGTTAAGTTTCACTTCAGATAATAAAAGTGGATAAATGAGGTAAAGAGCATTTCGTAAACAATTTAGAGGATCTTGCCATTCGTTGGATGTTTGTTGATGAATCTTTAACTTTGAAACTCGGGAAGGCAACCTAGGAGAGCGCCGTTACAAAGGTCCCCAACAGCCATTTCAAAAGTGTTGAAGGAGAAAAAGTGTGTCGCAGATAATGCACAAAGAGTAATGACCTCATATCTGAGTATAATTTCGGACTTCAGAAGAAAAACAATCTATTTTGTTGAATAAAGTTTGTTGTAATTTACACAAAACATGAACCTACAGTAATATTGTCTTTGCCAATAGCTGTAAACAAGATGTTCCGTTATATGACGGAGCTGCTAAAATCAAGAATAGAATTCATTGTCAATAAATCAGATGATTATATTCTGTGAGTAGCTCTGCCATTGCGAGCGAAAGTTGAACCAAATCTAATAACAATAATATGTAGGGGTGATCAGAAGGGAGGGGGAAGATGGAGAAATTTGCCCTAGACCTTGACTTAATTGGGGTCCTGAATTTTTTTCATCCAAAGAAATAAAAAATGTACTTATCCCTAATCAAAATTTAACGATGTAAGGTATTTGTGATGGAGAAATTAATTGCATTATAATTGAAGGGAGGAGAGAATTTTTTTGTTTTAATTGATGGGCCCGCGAGGATCAGCTGTTCGAGGCCCCTAGTTATCTATGGACGCCCCTGACGTGTATGACGTTGTTATGACGAACTATGTTAAGTTATCTGTAAAACTTCATTTTCAAATGAGCCCAAAAGTTAGAAGATTTGTTCCGTTGCACTGGAGAGCACAAATAGCTTCAAACCCGCGCCAAAACTTCAAACCGCGCGACGTGCCAGGACTCAGAAGGTCGTAAAAGCCAGAGCGCTGTCTGCGCAATCGTTCTTGCAGCGCGAGTCTGGCCGAGAGGGGCTGCAGCG